GTGCCTCTGTGGTGGCTTATTTTATGGCAAGTTCCTTCTGTGGCTTTGACAGTGTTCTCAGACAGGCAGCTCTATTTTTTAAGTCTTTTTAAGAGGCACAACAGGGAGACAGAGATGTGAATGCCCCACAGTTTCTATTTTTTCTTGCCTCTTGGGGAGCTGGGGAAATACCAGTCTGGTCCTTGCCAAGTGGTCCAGCTGAGGAATCCAGCTCCCCAGCAAGATTTCAGAAAGGTTTCTCAGCAATCAAGCCTCCACACTGAGTGGAGATTATGCCTCACATAAAAGGCATTTAAAAGGAGCTGAATCCACATTGGGTTTTGTCATGTACACTCACCAGGGCAGGACACAAACTCTGTGCCATGCCCGGCCTGCTCCTGATACTGCCACAGTAAATGGATGGGATGGGATGGGATGGGATGGGATGGGATGGGATGGGATGGGATGGGATGGGATGGGATGGGATGGGATGGGATGGGATGGGATGGGATGGGACGGGACGGGACGGGACGGGACGGGACGGGACGGGACGGGATGGGATGGGATGGGATGGGATGGGATGGGATGGGATGGGATGGGATGGGATGGGATGGGATGGGATGGGATAGCAGAACTGGAGACACACCCAGCTCTCCATCCTGGGCACATGGCTGGTGCACCTCTGCTGCTGAGAGAATCTGAGGGTGAAATGCAGCTCAGCATGAGGGAATCCGCAGACCTGACCTGAGCTGCAAGCAAAGCACAGCAAGGGAGGGGAGCAGGAGACTCAAAGCCCTCTCTGTGTCCCTGCTGTACTTGTCAGTCCAGTCCTGGGTCCACACAGGTTCCCAGGGGTGGCTCAGGGCTCTGGGCTCTGCAGGCTGAGCATGCTCCAGCCCACAGGCTGGGGAGGGGAATGTCTGAGCATCATTTCCTCTGAGAGACAGCTGCAAGTGATAGGACTGGTGACAGACTGAATACAAAAAGTGTTGCAGCCTCGGGCAAACCCACAGCCAAAAGGGCCACACCATTATGCCATTAGTCAGAGCAGATGCTTGTGATAGTGGCAGTGACCTGAAACTACTCATCTTGGTACTCAGGGAGGGCTTCAGCCATGGGGCTGGCAAGTGTGGAACAAATAAACTAGGCTCTTCTTTCCTTCCTGAGCTGCCTGCCACACTCAGATCTCACTTAAGGCAAAGAGAACAGTGAAGCAAAGGCTGACACAACGCCCTTTCCAGCCAAGCCACTGCTGGAAACAGCTGCTGAAACAAATTTTGGACAAAGATGATTTCAAGGTCTTGTAACTTTTATCTCCTTTAGTCAGACTCTATCCCTCTGCTTTTTTCTGAGGTTTCATTCTACCTTTACACCACCAAACACCTCGGGGCATCGACCCCAGTTTGCTTGGTGGTGTAAAGGTAGAATGACTTCAACACCTTTCCTCCTAGGTCCCCAGCACACTGACTCATGGGACAAGCATCCCAAAGGAGTCATATTCTTTCCTTTAGGGCCCCTCTCTGTTCCAGGGCTGACACATCTGCTGGAGTAGGTGCAAACATCTGGAACAGCTGCTGTGAAAATAGGCTCAGAGAAAGAGCAGCTGAAGAAGTTTTGCTTTCTCTCCTTGAAGAGGACATGGAGAAAGGGGTGGGATCTACAGCTTGGGTAGTAAAGAAGGGTCCAGTGTGGAAATTCTCCAACCCCGTCCCCAGGCCATCCCTCTTGTCTTGCATAGGACACACCAGAATCTCCTGTTTAATATAAGTCATTCCCATCTCCTAGGAGGTGACTCTCCCTCTCACAGTCCCACACTTCACAGTGAGTGTCATTCAGGGCAGAATTTGCAAGACCTACTACAGCCTTGTTGAAAAACAAGACATCTGCCATTGGTGTTTTGCTGGGTACAAAAATGTTTGATGAGTGATGGAATTTAAGAATGTGGAAGGCCTCAGACAGCACCAGGCTTTGCTTTCTGCCCTCAAGATGACTGAGAAATGTACTGTGAGAATTGTCTCTTCAGCAGCACACCAAGCTAAATGCCATGGTCAATGCCAGGGCAAGAAGAGCCATGGGGATTTAATTTTTATACAGTTTGTCTTTAAAACTCACACTTTTGATTTAGAGCATTTCCTTATCTTCAAGAAGCAAAGTAGCAAGCAAACTGTGTGGAAACTTCCAACAGTTCTCAAAGGAAATGACACTACCTGCAACCACAGTGTGCCCCCGCCTTTGGAAAGTGTATAGGCAACTGTAGGCACTAAGAAAAATCATCTCGGATGAAAATTATGTTTATTTTTTTTTTACCATCACCTCCCTGCCTCTCTGGCAATGTTTCAGGCAGTAACTTACTGGAAGCTCTAAGTAAATCCATGAAACACTTGGCTGCAGCAGTCTGCATCAGAATGCCTTTGCAATTTTCATTTAATCAGCTGGCAGCTGTAATGATAGAGATGGGTCTGCAAAGGCATCTCTGTCTGAGGAGCTGTGACACACAGCTCCTGGCAGGCACAGGTGCCTTGCTCCCAGACAAACTACAACAGGAGGTGTGGCTGGGAAGGGCTGGAAAGGCTTTGGCAGCACCTGGTGCACAAACCTGAAGCAGGAGAAGTAGCTAGGAGATGTTCAAGAAGACAAGGTAACCTTGGAGCACCCCCTGAAATGCTCCACAGACCTGTCACCTTATTGTGGAAGTCTGTATCCATGACCACCTCCCTCCTGGTCCCTGCTGGCTCATGTTGATAATGGTCCCCCCTTGCCTTCCTGTCTGTAACTTGGCTCCACTTTAAAATCCTAATGCAAACAGGCAAACCTTTCAAAGCTGCTGCTGCAACCATGTCAAACTGCACAGTGTTTATCACTAGCTTAATTATTCTTAATTGCTTTACTTACTATGGCAGGATCTCATTAACATGGCTAAAAAAACAGTCAGACAAAAAGCTCCCTGTATTTTACTGTGTATCTCAAGAACATAACACAGAATGCATGAGGGCAGACTTTTGCCCAGTTTTCCCAAGGAAACACTTTTGTGTCTGTCAGCAGCTGCTGTTGAGCCATTTTCCCTCCTTTAACATTTTTCCAGTGTTGTGTCCCAAGCTAAAGGGACAAAAATGCCGATTTCTGTCAAACACCATGAATATAAGTGGGTGGATAGAGAGGAGAAAATACAACATGGCAAACATTATTAGCCATGATTTCATATTCACTTTAGCCCTTTAGTGAGAATATAAAAGTGTTTTGAGCATCAGATTGATCCTCTAAACTCCTATTTTATGGCATCCAACACCACATTCCTCTAAGATATTCCAATTCATGTCAGAGTGTACTTTTTTGTCCATGTGGTTCCTTTACTCAGAAGCCCATATGAAGAGGAAAACAGCATTTCTATTACAAGACCTATTTTCCATAAGACCATAGTGGCTGTTATTTGCATTCTATCATTATTTATCCCCTCAGTGCTGCATTGCCTTTCTTCTACATTGCTTTATGCTGGGGGGTTCAGTATTACTTGGATCACCAACAGCATCACTGGGAATTGTTCTGGGTACCCTGAGATGAGTGAAACTCCTTTCCTGCCAGTTTTTCCATCCTGGGACTCCTCAACCTGGCAAGACCAGACAGTGGCAGGAAAGACTCAGGAGAGGTTCATAAATAGCCTCTTCTTTTCTGCAAGAAAGGAGATATTCTTTCCCACCTTACAGCCTTTGCAGCAAACAAAATGTGTGTTCTCCCTCTGGCTTTTCTCAGGAAGTGCTGATCCCTCTCCATTGGAGATCCCACAGCCCACTGTGTTTTATTCCTCTCCTCAAATGACTGGCAATACTGCCTGGAGCAGGGCGGATACAAAACTGTCCACTTGTAAAGAAAGGTGTGAAAAAGACCCAAAAAAATTTGCCTTCCTTTACAAATCACAGGTGAAAATCTCTGTCCTCTTCCCAGAAATTGAGATGTTTCCTGTGGAGAGCAGCTGGATGGTCAGCAGGGAAAATCCTCACCAATTTCTACCCGTCCAGGTGCCAACATCAATTGCGCCACACACATGAATTTCTAGTTTGGCATTTTCTACAAACTGGATCTACCTTCAGGAGCTACTAAAAAAACTTTTTGTTCCTCAACTGAGAGATCCAGCTGGAGCATCTGGGGAGCTCCAAAAATGTTTTTAGAAACACCAGGCAAGAGAAGGCCAATTCTCAGTCAGTTAAGCATTATGTCCCCATTGGCATCAACAGGCTCTGGCCATTCACAGCAGCTGATGCTAGGTCTGGCACCAGAAATTCTCCAGCTTTACTTTTATGAGGTCTTGAGATGTACTTATGGCTCACAGCAGAGCTCTGTGACAATGTTGCCTTGCAAAAAAAAAAACCCCAATGTGTTAGTTTAACATTATTAGTAAATATTTAGCTCTGCTGCAGCAGCACTTTGTGATTATTTAATACCTCCAGGGACAACTTCCTTGAAATAATAGGTGAAGTGCTGGGATTTGAGAGAGCTGAGTGTAATTCTCTGCTGTTGCAGACTCAGATCTTTGGCAGATCAAAGAGCAATGCTGTGCTGTGATAGGGCATCTGTGTACATCCCAAACCCTTGGGAGAGGGGGTGCAGAGTAATGGAATTATGGCTACACAGTTATTTTGTGTGAAAGCGTAGAAAGCAGTTCAAATGTTAAGCAGGTGATAAAACCTAAGAGTTTCCAGGAAAGCCCAGTCAACCCCAAAATGCAAAAAATTGCCTTGTCTCAAATATGAACACAATATTTTTCCAATTAGCAAAAACAGTTATCCCAGCACTCAAGTGAGGCCTGTGTGGTTGCAAAGAAGGAGTCAAGATTTGGGTTCTAAGGAGAAATATATCTGGGTCCTGCTCTGCAGATTTTAAAGGTCTATGAGCAAATAACCTGTAATTCCCACAGGTGTGGAGTTATCTGGCTTGTAAATGTATATACCTTATAAAATGCTGGATTTGTTTCATCTCTTATGCTATCAAAAATCCCCTAGGGAATATTTATCCTGCCTTTGCATGGAGACAGTGAGAAGAACAAACTTTTAATTCTAGAATGTCACCATGGGCTGGGCTTCATGCAGACAAAAATGTCTAGAAACAAAACATGGTGTCCTGATGCAGTATTTGAATCCATCTCCAGCCTTGTAGAGAGGTATCCAAGAAAATTCCAGTCTTCTCTAAGAACCATTTCATCAGAGCTGAGAGGAGATGGTGACATGGTTTGAGTGGTAAGTAACTCTGAACCAGGAATGTCACTTTTCAGCCTGACTTCTCCAGTACTCCCAGCTTTCATGTTTAGCCTGCAAAACAAAGCAAATAAAAACACCACAAACAATCAAACAGCTACCTTAAGATAATATATGAGAGGAGAGGAAACTCTAGGTTGGTGATGAGTGGTCCGTGAGAGTAAGAACATACTCAACCCCACTGCAGTGCCATGGTTCCTTCAGCTGGGCATGCAGAGCTTCTCTCCTTGGCAGGAAAAGGGATTGATTATTTACTTAATTAGTTAACGTGTAGCAATGTGAGGGTGGGGAAAGGCTGCAAGATAATTGTTACCATTATTATCAAAATCACACAGAAGCTTCTCATAAATACCTTCTTTATTTCTCACGTAAATGATGTTGTCAGTACCAGAAGAATTTTTCATCTCAAAAGTTTCTATTGAACAACTTTGTACTGGGCTCCAATTTGAAACCTATTCTAACTAGCAGACAATAGGAAACAATGCCTAAATTATTTACCACAAAGATTTAAAGCACAAAAACCGTGACAAACCCATCTGAATTTAATGGATGGATGCAGAATGCACTGCACCCGATTTCATAAATACCTTTGTATCCAAGCCTTTTTTTGCCCTTCCTATAAAATGTTTTTATGATGACAACTTTATTGGTGCTGAAATTGCTCTTTTCTGATGTTCAGATCACAAGAACTTTGTTTGCCTTTTGTGCATTACCCATTATTATTTCGTCTCCTTATTGTAATGCTATCCATTATTTCCCTTTTTCTATATAGATTATTTTCCCACAGTCATGTCTCTTCTGTCGAGTGGAGGGGCATGGATGGGCTGTTTGTGCAGCAGCAAATGTAAGACCAACAGAGCCTCATCCCTGAGGGAGAGATGATGAGCTGCAGGGACCACCCCCTCCAGGACCTTTGTCTCGTATCAGTTGATATAAAAGGTCTGCTTGTGTTGGGGCAGCTCCATAGGTGCCACCAGCAATACATCAATGAAGCTGCTTTTTTGTCCAATGTGTTTGTTTTTTCCTTCCTGACCTTTCCTTTGGAACCGCTGTATTGGAAATCAATGGCAAGTTTTATGTTCTAGTTTTTTAGCTTTGCTGTCACAGCCCAAAATTGGCAAGAGAGAGAGAACAGACAAAAGCCTTAAGAGGCATTTGGCAGGCAAAATAAAAAATTACCCCACATGCCGTTTTTTAAAAAAATCTTACAAGCCATTCTGTGGCAGAAGTCTGGGCTCACATTACAGCTCTGGGAGTTCACTAAATTGATCCTGTAAGCAGCGTGCATCCCTCTGCATTTAGTGTGACATGGCTGAAATCACAGAACAGGAATCAAGCAGAGTGATGCTCCAGACCTTTGTAAGGAAATGTGTATGTGCTGCTAATACCACTTCTAAGATATTGGACATGGCTCATGTTTGGCAAGTAAGCAGAAAAGCACTGCCTGAGCCATTATCTGCCAAGCTGCTGGGTTCACACAAACCAATTTTCTGTAGCAGTTCTGGCATCTCTTCCCGGTCTCCAACATATCTCCTTGATCACTTCTTTAAGAGAGCCAAGGAATGCTTAAAAAGGGAACGTGACTTTGTCTCATCTCAGATTTTGGGCATTTTTGTGCTCAAACCATTAGCAGATAAGAAAGATGTTTGCAACCCCTTTGGCAGTGAGGGGTCAGTCTTTTCCAGCAGCTCCTTTTTGAGTGTGCTAGTTGAAAGGTTGAAAGAGAATTATTCCTATTTAGGACAATATAGGTGTTTTGTGCACATTATCCTAAGAAATAGCAGTGCAAACCAAAAGTGGAAAAGACCTGGTTAAAGAATATTTAGAGAAGTTATGACATCCTGAGGAACAGCTGAAGTTTTTCCTCCTGCACTTCACAGACAGGTGAGAAGATCCCTATACATTTAGAGGTTATCTCTGTAATTTCTCTGTGCCTGAGGAATCGAGGAAGGCAAGCAGAGGAGTTCATCTTTCATGACAGAATGAAGAACCAAGGAAATTGCAGTAATCTAATACCCAGAAAGGCAGAATATAAAATTATTAAACAACATCTTAGTAGTCATCTAGGGAATAAACTGATAAAAAGAGCCTGCATAGATTATTCAAGAACCTACTTTCTCAAACCATTTCTAATTTCATTCCTTGTCAGAGCAACCAGCCAAGTGGATAAAGAGGAGGCAGCAGATGAGATATGTCTTGAATTTATTAAGAGTATGACATTGTCTTGCATGACATTCTCTTAAGCAAAGAGAGAAATATGGCCCAGTGGGTGCGCTCATAAAACTTGTGGATGTCTCTGTGCTGAGAACAGCACCAAGAGCTTTGGAGGGCAGGATTAGCAAAGGCTGGATTAGATGGAAAATTAGCAAAAATCAGCATTGATGACCTCAGTAAAGATAAGAGAAAAGGAATTCCAGCAGCTGTGAATGATTTCTCCTGGGTATCTGCCACCACAACATAAGAGTTTTTTGCCTTAGGAGTTCTTTAGAAAATGTTTGCCCCTCATTAAAATGAATGGTGTACTTTCTTTTCATGAAGGGTCACCGGAAAAGCACAAGATTATCACACTTCATTTCTCAAAAAAAAAAGCCAAAATTCTCCATGAAGGTTTGCTCTTCATTTATTCCAGCCCCAAAAAGACCAGTGACCAATTCTTAGTTCAGATGGTGTATTCAAGCATCTAGGACTGTTATTTTTCAGCTAGACAGACCTCATGGAAAAGAGCATCACTAATAAAACACACATTTCCTGTGGCAGAGGAAAAGATGCTCTCTTGGGATTAATCTTTTGGAGTAATTAATTAATTAATCAGGCCTTTCTTAGGTTCTGATTGAAAAGCAGAGGAAAGAGCACTGCTGTGGAGGTAAATGCTTTGGCTTTGTATTGCAGTGGATATTACCTTTACCCTTTTCAGTTTTGGAGGATGCAGCTGAACTGTACTGCTGGAATGAAGGATGTTGAACAAATAAGTAGATCAGACAATAACAAATTGCTTGGATGAAGTGATATGTGCCAAAGCATATGCCAAAGACTTTTCATGCCAAGAACACTAAGCTGCTACCAAAGCTGTATAAACCCTTATTAAAACATGTAGCAAGAGTTTAGGATATCTGAAAAAAGCCCAAACCCAATCTGCTACATTTGGTTATCAGTAATATTAGGACCTACTTGCCCTGTTCCAACAGCAGGAGTCACCACAGCACCAAGCGAGCCCAGGGTCAGGAACAGGGAACAATAATCACAGACACACCCTTTTCTTCACTTTATATGTATGTGATATAGCTCACACAGAAATATACCGGCGATGTTTACAGAGATAGAAGACAAAAAAATATAATTGATTGGAGAATTTTTGAAGACATTTTTAGGTAGAAAACGTTTTTCCACTACATGTTGAGCACAGCAAGAAGAAGGGAAGAGAAGGAGCACTGGAAATAAACCTACATGAAAACTCTTTGTTTGGTGTTCAGTACACATTCATTCATTGACAGTAATTTTTTTTAACCCACACGTAAGTGTTGTTTTGTTCTTTTGAGAGTTTTAAAGTTCATCCAAAAGTATTTTATGCCTTCTGATGTTAATATATTTCTACTGAATCTTTTTACACTGTTTATGTAAATAATGATTGTTTTGCATTCTTCTTTGTGGGTGGTGAGAATTGATAGACTGTTAGTTTAACCAGTGTAGTTAGAGAGGTGACAATTTCACCCTCCAATCCACTGTCACTTTTAAGTTGCTATATATTGCGAAGTCAGAAAATAAAGTTCTCTCTTTTAGCTCTTTTCTTCCCCTCTTTTAAATCTACGTACTTCTGTAAGTTATTTAATGTCGTAGTGTAACAAGAAAGAAAGCTTAATGAAATCAAAACCCCTCTTCCACTAAAAAATACCAAGTAATTCTTCAGGGAAGTCTCAAGCCTTAACTGAAGGGTTTTCCTGTGAGCTCTGCAGGGCTCATTACAATGTTATCCAATGCAGACATAGATTTTTGGTCACTGCTCTTAGCTTTTCTTTTGCAGGGAAGGTAAAAGCTCTGAAAATTCATAATACAGCAGTAGAGATACCCTTTGCAATCCAAGGCAGAGATGTTCTGCGCTAACCGCTTACAAACAGTCTGAAAAGCATGAAAATCAAGTTGTGTTTCAAGAAAATATGTTTAGATGTAAAACCTGGGAGCACATTTATGCATTTCCAAGAAATGTATATCCTGGAGCTCAGGTTGAACACACACAGACTTTGCCTGGTATTTCTAGTATAAATCATAAACTTGCTTTTGTCTTTTTCCCTTGAGAGCCTTTGCAAAGTTAATTGTCCCTGACTCCTTGCCAGTATTACCTCAGTAAATACAATATATGTGCATTGGCAAATGCCTTGCACTGTGCACATGTCAATTTCAATAGATCAATAAATTATTTTCCTGTAATCTCCAATCTAAGATATATTCTACAGAGATTGAAGAGAGCATATCACTCTGTGGAAGTGCTGGTGTAGAACCACACCTAAAAACATATTAAAATATTCAGAAATATGTACAAATATTTTTAGCTGGATAGACTTCTGTATTGGGTATTTCTGGCAAAGCTGGATTACTTCTTTCCACAGAATCTCTGTCCCAGGCATGGCTAAATATGCCTAGAGGTGGGCTTTCCAAATGTAGGAAGAAAAGCACAACATCATAAGCTTAGTGTTTCCTCTGGATCTTGAGATGCCCTGGCTCTCCCAGGCAGAAATTCCACTGCTCAGCCCAAGCTGCACAGCCACTTGTTTCTGGACTTCCAGTGGGTGCCCATATCATCACACTCCACACCCTGTCAGGAGTGTCCTGGCATCTCCATCCAGTTGCTTTCCCACAGTAGGTTAGAGCAGTAACACCCTTCCAGTCTTTAATCTCAGTGCCTGCATCATCACAGGCTCACTCCAATGTAAGTCAGAGGATCATTTGATCCATTGCAAAATGATGGCTGAGTTAGATCATCATTTCCCCCTTTCACAGCTGCATTCATTGCTCCTTCCCATTTGTCAGTTTTGCAATTTCTTTGTCAAAATTCTCCTCTACCCATTTCGAGGTCAAAAGTTTCCCAGTACTGCGGCAGTTTTTTTGGGTCCAATTAGAGATGGATTGTTCATCAGAAAGATGTCAGAATTACTGCAGCACAATTAACCCTTATTGTTTCCAGTGGTAGGACAAATCTAAGCAGCCCCAGGTGAAATCCCTTTGCTCTATAAATCCCAGTTATGCTCACATTTGCTGTTACCAATATGTGCAGCCTGACAGATGCATTTTTCTTAGCCTGTGTGCAATCTCCATTTGCATGGTAATGAGGCTTTCCAAAGGCATTCAGCAGGTGAGAGGGAGATGAACTCCTTCCATCAGCATCAGAACTCACCATCAGCTGTGGTTTTCAGGAACAGGAAAAGCTCCAAGGGATCCGTGCCTGAGCTTAAAGCTAAAAGCCACCACCAGTGATGGGATAAGCCGCTGCCAAATCTGCTTGTGACATAACCAGCCATATTTTAAGATGCACTGATTTATATACACCCTTACCATAATGTTGGATTAGAAGAGTGGACAGGAGACAAGGAATAATAGTTTGACCAAGGTCTCGTGGGCTTTAACCCCAGTTCCCTATTGAGGGTTGTTTCTAACACTGCACAGCGCCATTCATCTTCCTCCCTAGCTTTTGTTGACTAACACTGAAGCTGCTGTCCAATTTAAACCTCATCAGACTCCACTTGAGCCCTGGAAGATAATTAAATTCCCTAGGTACTGCCCCATCTCCAGCTGTTTTCTCCTGATGTATCCTTGCCATAGTTCACCTCGTGCATTCATGTGAGCCTCTCTTCTCCAGCGCTCCCTGAACTCCTAAGTTTTCTCCCTCACTGTATTTCCAGGCTGATCAGTCCTAATCTGCTCATCCAAAGTTTTCTTGTCCAAAAGCTGTGACAGACTCCCACTATCCTCACTGGAATTTGTTGAAGCATCTCCTAAAGACCCTCCTGAGGTGAGCAGACAGGAGACAGATTTGTTCCACCCCGTCCGAGGTGTGGCTGACAGTAACCTCCTCCCACAGCCACGGCAATGATCTCCAACCCTTCTCTAAAGACTCCAAACAACAGAGTTTTTTTCAGCACAGGTGGTATTTTTCAGGCACCCACCATCTGTTTTCTCAACTTTCCTGGCACAGGTGCTGTTCACTGGGTGAGCTGTTTCCTCCTGCTGGGATGGTGCAGAAAACCAGGTCCCAGCTGTTTTCTTCCTGGTGCCTGGTAGTTCACCTGAGCTCAGTATTCGCATGCACTCCCACTATTTCATTGCATTATCTCATGAGTTATGCAAACGTTATATTGTATAGAAACCTCTTTCTCCAGACAGTGATTGAATTTTTCTTATGTCATTAAAGGATTTGTTCCTCTGTTGTTTTCTGTAACAGCGAGTAATTCCCATTAAATATTAAGTAATTGATTTGCCATATTTGCCTGGGGGCTTTTTTTTTTTAATTAATTGATTTATTTAGTCATTGTAATTACAGTAAATCAGCTAACTAAAAATAATGCCAAATAATTAATTTACTTAGTATTTAAATATTACAAATTGCCATAAAGGACTGCACACAGGGTAAATTTTCTTATCACTTGCAGGAAATGGAAAGATTAATTTCCAAATATTATTTATGTGTGCTGGGTTTTGGTGCTTTGCCATTCCACCCAGTGAGCAATGCACAGGAAAATCCAGTTATTGAGGCTGATCCCAAAGCACTGAGATCCCTGACTTTCCTCTTCTCAGCTAAATGAAGCAGTGTAAAGAGAGGTTAAAAAAAACCCTAATGACACTTATGTGGGAGTCTGATCACCTTGCTAACAGGTTTAATCTCTCATCTGAGGATTTTCTGTTGTCTAATAAGGCTTAAGTTCACATTTCTGTTGTTTCACTCACATGAAACATGAATATTCTGGCAATGCCTCCCCTATGTGGCCACTTCTTTGAGGAGGGAGGAAACCCAGTATGAATTTATAATCTTTGCAATCTCTCAGCTACTGCTAAATCTGGTGGAAGCTATCAAAAACAGCAAAAAGGGATGGAGGGAAGAGTAAGGGAGACAGGTACTGATTAAAAGAAAAAAATCACAGCCCCCTTGTTTCTGTAGGAAACCATGTGAATAAATAGGTTTCACGCCTTTCATCAGCTGAGATGCCAAAGTGTCTCTGTGCTGCTGAAGATGGGATTAAACCAGACCCCCTCCAGCCTCTGCTGCAACAGAGATTTTTTTCCCTCTGAAAAGGATGCTGAGGATGGTAAAAATTCAGCCTAATTAGATTCAAAAGAAACAAAACAGTGAGCTGTCTTGGGAGTCCCACCGCTATCTTCTAAGTCCTTTATGTGTTTATTTTGAAGCATTAGTGGAATGTCCTTGTCTTCTTGTCAGAGCCCCTGTGGGAGCAATGTAAGTACAGAGAGGAAGAGACTTGGGAGAGCCCCAGATCAGATTTTATGAGCCCATCCCTAAAAAGCACTCAGAAATTTGCTCAATTATAAAATTTGTGATCAAAGAATCATAGAATCCTGGAATTGTTTGGGTTGGAAAGAACTTTAAAGATCTGTGGGCAGGGATGGCGCTCACTAGGTCAGGTTGCTGAGGGCCCCATCCATCCTGCCTTGAACACTTCCTGAGCTGATTTTGAATGTGCACACAGGGATTATAATCCAAGGCAGGACTCCACATCTGATAAAATCCCCCTGCTGCCCCTCTCACTGAGCTTTGGGGCACATTTGGAGCCTGCAAGGGAGCTGCTTTTCATACAAACCTGGACAGAAGATGTGCTCCAGAAGAACAACTCATTGGGACATCATTCTGTCAAGGACTCGAAGTCCTCAGTGCCAACTGCTTCACACCACAGGACCAAAATCTTTTTTCTATCTCATTTTCTTCTTCTGTTAGACTGAGTTTTTTCATTCAGTCATGGAAATATTAAAAACCTGAATAGATTCAGCCATGAGCAACCTGCTCCTCCTGGCCTTGCTCTGAGCAGAGGGAACAGACCATGGTCCTCCAGAGGTCCTCTCCAGTCTGAATTCAGTGTTTCCCTTGCTTGTGTCACATATTAAATACGTTTTGTCTGAAAAGGCCTGTATTCAGTGTCTTAGTGATGTCTCTCAAAACTTCCTATCACACACAAGACAGATCTGCAGGAATTCTTCCTCTTTAATTTCATCCTTGGTGTGCTTATGTGGGTGTTGAAAATTTGCTTCAGAATGTTTAACTAATTCTAATTGAACCATTCTCATTTTCTCCCTGGTCTCACTCACTCCATAAATTGGCCGTCCCTGAAGTTTTGCTTTCAGGCCCAGTCTCAGGTTTGAGAGGGATTTCCAGAGTGGAAACAAATAACAAATAATGACATAATACTTACTTACTCTGGCATTGCTGGCACTTGAAATTTAGAAGTGTGTTCATACCCTTCTTTATTCAAAATAGTCTTAATATTTCCAACAAATACCAAAATGTTTCTCTAAGTTCAGTGAAACACTGAAGAAATGGGCAACTGATGATTTATTTTTCCCAATCATTTTTTTTCACATTTTTTATTAAAAAGGAACAATGTTTGCAATGAATCTTTCATTTCCAAATACCAATAGGGAAATTCTCTTCTTATCTTGCCTGTTTTGCTTTTGATATGGTTAATTTGGCAGAAGCAAAATGAGTTCCTCAAGTATGGCAGCATTGAGGAATTTACTTTTCACCCTGGAGGAAAAAAGTTTGAGCTGCAAAGCTGTGGCAGAGCTTTACTCCAAAAAGCCCCGGGTGGCTTCTGTTGCCTTTGCTTTGTACCTACTTCCCCTGCATCCCTCTACTTCATTTATAATCCAGAGGACACTCCTCCAAAAGCTTCCCAGACCATCTTCCATCTCTCTTCTCACCATGTGGTCATAAATCAGCTGCTTCATTACCTTCTTCTTGGCATTCCCTGCTCCAGTGGGTTTCTCCATCACCATGCTTGCCATATTCCTCTGCTCCTCCTTGGCTTGCCTTCAAGTAAATTTCCCTCCATTGTAGTCCATTTTCAGTCCTGTAGGAGACAAAAAAAAATGCTAAGTGAAAACAATTCAATGGACTGTACAATTGTAAGCATATTTGCCAGGCTAATGAGTTGTTAATGCCAGGAATGAGTTGTTAATGAAAATGAAGGGTAAAATTGTAACAAATGCAGGGTAGCTTTTTTTTTTTTTTTTTTTTTTTTTTTTTTTTTTTTTTCAGTTGAAAGCCTTTCTAGCTTGGAGGTAAGAACAATCATTTCATTATTTCTGAAAAGACCTGGCAGGAGTCCAGGCTCAGAATTTGACAGTGTTGAGAACTGAGGTAGGCATAAAAGAGTTATTTCTATCTCAATGAGGTTTGATGTTCCACCTGAAGTCAGCAGATCCCCTGCTGGTGTTAATTGGTGTCAGGGAACTGTTTCTTCTGGAACAGCTCAAAGAGACACCAGCAGAGAAACTGCCTTGCTCTATTTCTATGTTTCCATTCTTTCCCTTTGCCTCTCAAGGGAAAAAGAAAAGCCCATCTGAAGTATGAATACAGAAGAGAAGCCTGGAATTTACTGCTCCTCAACTCGTGTAGGTACCCAAGTGAGAAGAAATGGCTCCAAAGGCCCTAGTTTGCATGGTATTTAGGCACCTGTGCTCCTTCAAGAATTCCCTTGCCTGAATTGAGCCTGGAGTGTTCCCATCCCTTCAGCTGATGAGCCCAGGGAGGGCTCAGCGACAGAGGTTTTAAATGCTGCAGTGTAATGCCCCCCTCACTCAGATTTCTGGTGGGTGAAGTGTTTTTCACAAGGCAGACAAAAGACGTGGGTTTTTTGCAGGGTGGCTCATTACTATGGCAACCAGCAGAGTGGCCTCCCCCTGCCTGGCAGCACTGATTTCAGAGATCAGGGAGAATTTCTGCTGAGTGTGCACATCACTGGTGGCTGTGCAGACAATCCTAAAAGAGGAGTTAAAAGGAAATTCAATTAATCAACGTGCCCCACAAAGCCAAACATCTGGATGTAGCAGCTACATCTGGTGTAGGTACAGGTGCTGAGCAATAACTAGGAGGTGACAAGGGTCTAGAAGAGGTTTTTCATCTCTGTATGGTGATGGCAAACAACTGGCCTTTGACACAAGCCAGAGTTTAGTTATGTACAGTGTACAAAAGCAGAGGGAGTTTGCAGCAGCTCCTTTTCAATCTGGAGAGGGGCAGAGAAAATGAGAGGCTGAGCTGGGAGAACATTGTGTTTCCTGGGTTGCAAGGAGTTTCTTTCCATTCAGGGCAAGATAAGCTTCTAAGAAAAATTACTTTCTTCCGTATCTGTAAGAATGCAATTTGATGTGTTTTTAAGAGAGAAAAGGGTTTTCTTCCTCATTTCCAGTAATTGCCTAACACTTGTCAGGCAAAACAAACATAAGGCAGAGAAATAGTTTCAATCTAGGCAATCACAGCCACGGCAGCATTTAGGTTTTGCAAAGTGTGCTGCAGTCTTAACCTGCTCATTTTCCTACAGAAGCAGCCACAAAGGAAACATTTGCTCACTCTTTCATCCTATTCTTAGAGGGTCGATGTTGGTCCACCAGCACTGGCAGCTTCTGCGTCCAGAGAAACAGTAAGAGCCTGAATGACAGATGCAGGACTCCAGGCAGCTCTTCTAAATGCAGTTTATTGTACCCAAGATGTTACAACAGTCCAGGGTCGTGGGTGACAGAGCCTGCACCTACAGCCGTCAGCTCCAGCTGCAGACAAGCCTGGAGACCCTTTAATTTTGGTTACAATGCATTATATACTTTTCTTTGTTGAGCATCTTAATACAGAAGAACCAATCTATACCTTTACTTTTATCTATAGCCTGTCATAACTCCTGTAATCACCATATGCATGTTACTAGGCTCCAATCACTAACAGTTGGTATGTTACAGTTTAAACCAGAAGTTGTTTTTCAGTTTTCTTGCAGTGGAAATCCTGAGACCTTTTCTCTGCTTGCAACATCAGCAGTCTTGTTTGCCTGTGGTATCTTTCTGCTTGGTAAAAACATCTTCTTGTTTGAGGTGGGTTTATCCTTTGCCCTAAGCCATAAAAATCCCTTCTATCTAACATACCCTTTGCCTTCTTAGCTGTCCAGCAAGACTGGCTCAGAAATTGTCAATTTACACATCTATTATTCTTCTATATCAAAACTTACTTTCATTTCTATTCCTTCTTCAGATTCTACATTCAAAAATCTTTCTGCCAAGCAGACAAATCTGTGAGACTTTCTTGTCAAATTTTCATCCTTCCCAACAAGAAACAGCCCAGACACCTGCTCATTTTCCTGTACGTGCAGACAGTCCCTTCCCACAAAACCTGCAAGGTGATTACCTCCCACAGCTGTTCCTTGTGCCAATCTTGCTGTTACTTGTTCCTTGCACCACTTTTCCCAGACACCTCCCTGAGATCACTTATGGCCTGCATACCAAGAGAAGACAACCTTACAGCAGGGGTGGTGCAGTCAGGGAGAATGGTGGGACAATCACAGGCCTGGGAAATACGAGTGCTGGAACTCAGAAATCTTAGCTGATATAAAGGATTATTCAATCCAGTCAGACTGTTCTATCAGAAGCTGTCTGCACCTTGTCACTCTCCAAGCTCCTGCCACAACCCACAAAAGGTATTTGCCTTTAGAAAGCTTGAGGCAAAAAAAGTTGCACTGGACCATTAAGTCAGTTCCTAATTTCAAACCCACTGCAGCCAAATTCTGCTCACTCACCCTGCTTCAACCAGTCCTTCCAAAAATTGGTAAGGGGGGATTTAGGCAAGCTTTGCACTGTCCCTTTCTGTCTCGTGTGGCACACACGTGCCTCGTCCTCTTGCTGCACGCTCTGCTGGCTTCAGCAGATGCACAACCCTCCATACAGAACCATCTGCATTGCATTGGCACTGCCAGGGGACTGAGCATGGCCTTGCAGTTAAAATCCACTAGTAACAGGTGGGAAAACACCACACAGTCCCTGGAAACTCTGCTTTTCCTTTGCCAAATTGACTGCAACTGATTCCCCTCAGGCATCCCATTTGCAACAGAGATCTGCATTCAGATTGGATGTGATGAGATGTGATTTTTGTTGTGCTGGACAACATTCCCATCTGGCAGGTGTCAGCATGCCAGAATTGCTGGGATCATGCTAGTATCTATCCATCTGTCCATGTGGGTCATCATGCTTGAAGTACTGCAGAGGAATAAAGCAAAAATCAAAATTCTTCTGCTCAACAGCTGCACACTCTGGTGATTTTCTAAAAGGAAGGGAGGGGTGGAGAAGTCTGTCATCACCTGGTCACTCAACCTGTTAGTGTGGCTGTCTACAATGTCACCATCTCCCTCCAGCTTTGGAACCCGTCAGCTCAAGGCCTCAAAGGGACACAAAGGATGAGCAGTTAAGTTGGGCATCATTCATTTTCCCTGCTCCTGGTGGGTCAAAACAAGGCTGCTGCCAGCACAGTGCACACACCTCCAGGCAGTGACAGATTTACAGCCCCATCCCTCTGTATCATTTGGATCAAAGAGGCCCTGACCCTCAGCATCCAAGAGCCCAATGAAAGCAGAGAGGCTGAACTCGGATCAGTTCAGGGGAGCAGTGAAACCTCACTGCAGTCTGCATCAATCCAGCCAGGGGCCAAGAGGGGCTGGGTGATAGCTGGGAATATAAGGTGTAAAACCACAGGTAAACAGGTAAGAAAAGGCAGGGAGGAAAAAGGAAGGTCTCAGCACTGAAAAACAAATGAGCAGTATTTAATTTCAGCCCTGCTCTCTGTACTCAAAATACAGGCTATCTCACAGACAACAGTGTTTGATGAATAAACATAAGCTGCAGCCTGGAAAAGTTTTCTCCTGAGAAGCTCCACACCTGACACTTGCTAAATGCACCAATATTTTGTGCCATTCTGCCACTCATTGACCAGGGTCTGACTAGCACAAATCTCACTGATGGCTACCACGTGGCAGATGAACATGCTATGGGCAGAACTGAGACACTTCCAGGTAATACAGTAGCTACTGTAGGGCTTTGGATCTCTAATCATCTGATTGTTCAGAGCAAGACTGACCACTGACCATCACGACCTTGTGAGCACAATTCAAGTTCCCAACACACTTCAACATTTAGAATCACCAGGGATTTAGGATTACTGTTAAAAAATGTTAAGGGCCACATCTTTACATGCACTCTCCTTGGAGATTCTTTATGAGATTTTTACAAAGCACAAATACATTCTGGTTACACCTACAACAATATCAGCCCAGTGCAGCTGGTGTCCAAACCCAGGCCCAGCCAGAGCTTCCTGAGTCAGAGAAAGATTCTGTCAACACCTATTTCTCTATTGCCTGTTCCAGTCTCTGCTGTCCCTCTTTGATTCAGTGGCTCAGACTTTCTCCACTTCTGTCCTTTCATGACAGATCTTCAGCCAGAGACAGATGAGAGAAGGAACATGTTACAGGGACCAGCATTTGAAAAAGCCTTCCTTCCCTCATCCCACACTGGACTGGACATTGCAATGGGGTGTGTTGAGAGCTCTGCCAAGGTTCCTGTGGAAGGATTTCATTGTTAGAGGGCTTTTGATCTCTAACTCATAGTACTCAGAGACCACAGTAAGCATAAATCACATCTGCATATGCCCAAAATCCTTCCTAAGCATCAATTCATTCTGCAGCAGTGATCCCTTTTCTGTTCATGCCAGCTGATCTGTGCTGGGGACAGAGCTGGTATCCTGCATTTTCAGCCTCAGAACCCAGAGGGCAAATAAGAGGAATGCCCATTTATCACCTTCTATAAGACAATGAGCTTTGTGCCCATCTTAAAAGTTTGGGGAATTGTCTCCCGCTCTTGAACTCACAAGCTTGACAGTGGTACAGTAAAAGCAAGTAGATTTTAAAAACTCAGTGGTCCAGGCTCTTTCCAGAATCCGTCACTCATTTTTTCCCCAGAGAGACAAGAAACTGAGATGAATGTCTCTGCTGGAATTGTGCCACATGGATTAGTGAAGTGGGACTTTTCCCTTGTGTGCAGATTGACTTCAATTCACCCCGGCTCTGTTTCAATGAGCCTTGTCCAAAGGCAGCCCCCTGGGAAGGAGGAAGGGTAATTAACTGATGCTTTTGAGAACAGCCCTGCAATGAAGGTATGAAAAATGAGACGTGGTGCTTTCATAGATAAATATTTGTGCGTGTGTGTTTTCGCAAGCAAACTTCAAACACTGCCATCAGGGCTTTGCAGAAGAAAGCCAACAGCAGTAAAGCAGTAAATCTAGGAAGCAGCTGTTTGACAATCTGCCTTCAGATAAAGTTTCTTCCAGACCTGAATCCAGCCCTGGGCTTCCCAATACCCAGGCTCCTCATCTGTCTAGCTTTGACTCTTAAATATGTCAAAAACACAGTAGGAGCTAGAAGAAATATGCGTTTTCATTCAAATCCTATGGCAATGAATTAGCTGTGATTTTTAAGAAGAAAAAAAAAAAAAAACAAATCAGGATTCCTTAATTTGCTACCTGGCATCTTCTGCTTTTTCTCTCTGACCATTGTTCCCATTCTCTGTGGGACAGGATAAGAACCAGAGCTGTTCCCCCACCCCCACCCTGCCCAAAACTTTCAAACCTCAAATCTGGTCTGCTTTTGAAATCAGAGCTTCCCATATTTAGTTGTTTCTTTTTCTTCATGGATGTCTCACTTGCAAGCAGAGGCAGGTGTTTGCCTCTGCACAGCAGGTACCAGGATATACCCCTTCAAGCCACGTGTGCAGCAGGGAAAAAATGAGCCT